TTCAAGCCCAGATTGGGCAACTTAGTAAGACACTGTCTCAAATAAAAAGGGGATGGGGATGTAGCTCAGTGTGACAGTTCTGAATTTGACACCAGAATCCCAACCCACACACAGGCCATGGTGCTGCACACCTGTACTCTCAGCACTCAGGAACCTGAGCCAGAAGGATCATTACAAGCGTAAGGCCAGCCTTGGCTACACAGTGAGTTCAAGGTCAACTTGAAATACACAGTGAGACCCTGTTTCAGAAACAAAACAAAATAACCAACCCCCCCCAAAACAAAACAAAGACAAAACAAAAAAAGGGACACTATAAGTGAGACCAAGATTTTTATTTTATTTTATTTTATATTTTTGGTACCGGGGCTCGAACTCATGGCCTTATGCTTGCCAGGCAAGCACTTATGCTGTTGAGCTAAATCCCCAGCCATAGTAGGTATTTTAAAAATCTTTATTTTTTTCAGGACCAGGGATATAGTTCAGCAGCATAAGCTCCTGCCTGGCAACTGCGAGGTCATGAGTTCGATCCCTGGTGCCAAAGAATTTTTTCCCTTCTGTAGTGGGTATTACACCACAGGCCTCTTGCATCTGGCAAACACACTACTGCTGAGCTACATCCCCAGCCTGCATATGTAACGTTGATCCATATTTTATGGACCCAAAAGGATTCGCATAGGTTTTGGGTTGCTCTTCTATTTTTCCTCTACCTGAAAAAGAAAATTCTTAGCAGTTGGTCAATAGTTTATGATACACAGGAAGAAGGAAGTGGTTGGTCTCAGCATCTAATGCTACGGGTGATGAGCTCAAGCTTGGACAAGCATGCCACTTCTGGCCCCTCACCCTTTATTAGGTACACACTGACTGAGAGATGAAAACTGGCATGACACAGAGCCCCGTAACATATATGATGCAACGGCAGCGACGTCTGATAGTCCACAAACTCCCAGTGTTGTTCACAACATCCAAGTCCATCAAGTTCCATAGATACCAAGAGATCTGCGAGAGGTGTGGCCTCCTCCTGTGCCCTGGCATCTGTCAAGGGACAGAGAACAGAAGTAACTGCTCCAGCAGAAGGGATACATCAGAAGGCCCAGATTTGGTTCCACACTGTTGTTCGAAGACCTTGATATCCATGCCAAACTTGTAGGGCATCCATGACCCCAGGGCAAAGTGGACAGCTTGGCATAAAGGGTCAGAGGCTCAGGATTTGTAAAATCCTGCTTCCCAGACAGCCCAGTAGATGGCCTGTCATTTTGTATTGATGATATATGACACATGACTGAGGGGGCGTTGTTTATCTATCATCTTTTTTTTTTTTTTCAAGTCTTGGGGATTGAAGATGGGCCTTTTGCATTGAACTAAATCTTTGGTCATCTTTAAATTTTGAGACAGGGTTTCACTATGTCACTAAGTGGCCCAGCCTGCCTGGACTCAAACTTTGAATCCTCCTGCCTCAGCCAACCAGAGTGGTGGGATTAGGGGTGTGCACCAGAATACCTAGCTGAGAGCAGCAATTTTTCGCTTTTGATCTCAGTAATGAAGAGCACTGTACATTTGGCTTTGTTCCTAATGGGGAATGTTTTTGCCCAGGGACTACAATTATGTTTCCTGTATACACTGGAAAGCAAGACTGCTAACTAGATGTTTTGAGACCTTTGTATCACTAAAGGGTAGCATTTACTATACTTGCTGGAGTGACAGATCAAAAATATCAAGTGACACTGGAATATGACGCAGCTGAGACAAAGGGGGCCAGCTTTAGGAACGACTTGTCACATCCAAGCTGTATCATAAAGATTAATGGAAAATTAAAACTGAAAAAGGGCAGGGGAATGAAGGACTTCAAATAAAGGAATGAGAAAGGAAGATACAAGTCTCTCAACCAGGTAGAGAACCCAGAGCAGCTAAACGTGTAGTAGAGGGAAGGCAAAGCAATTATAGAACTGGTCACTGAAGAAGGGAATTGTGCATATACATAACAATCATCAAGTGAATTACAGAACCAAGAAATGTGGTAGTTCTATCCATTTTTTTTTTTTTTGGTCTTTTTCCTTTTTATCAGTACCAGAGATCGAACTCACGACTGCCTGCTTGCAAGGCAGACGCTTCTGCCGCTGAGCTAAATCCCCAGCCCCCGTTCTATCCATTTTAAAAACTGTATTATAAGCCAGGCGTAGTGGCATAAACCTGCAATCCCAGCACTCGGGAGGCTGAGAAGAAGGATACTGCAAGTTTGAGACCAGCCTGGGCTAGAAAGCACAAGGTCAGCCTGAACTGCATAGAGAAACCCTGCCTCAGACACACCAAAAAAAAAAAAAAAAAAAAAAAAATCTGTATTACACTTTGTTTTTATGCAAGTGTTCATGCAAACTATTCATTCACTTTTACCACCTACTGATTTCCGTTTCATACACAAGTTACGTATTAATTTACAATTCACTCTGCAGCTAACAGGATATTCATTGGGAATGTGACTACATTTAAGTAAAAACTAACATGGCCTGTGATGAGATAATGCCTTCCTTTTCACCTAAGAGGAGGGTGAGAACTGCTTCCCTTGAGTCTTGCTAGTAGAAATACAGGGTTGTTTAATAATTACCGGGAATTCACATCTGTGTAGAAAGAATATATGCCAATGGTGAGCAGCCAAACTGTGACAGTGCCACTTAGTGATTTGTTCAGTTTGGCTCTAGACTGACCTTCACTGTCTGCTGTGGAATAAAGGGCTGGATTCTTTTAAGCATCTTTATATCAACCACTTTCAGTTGTCAAGGTGGAAGGGCACTGGATGGTCAACCGGTAAGTGATACGGGGTGAGAAGGATGTTCTGTGTTAATGGGTCCATCCCACCTGCTCAGAAGGCACAGCCCCTACCTAGGTGCTCTCTAAGGCCTGATCCACTGTCCCCTCCCCTGGCCGTCCTAGCATGGACACTGAACACTCAAAGGACTTCCACTAGGAGAGGGGCCCTCTGCACATAGAGCAACCAACCTGATGGCTTCTCTCCTTCATGACAGGTACTGCATCTGCACACTCCCTCTGCAGTCACCTCCAGTAAGCCTGTCCTGTGGGCTGGTTCCTCACAACCCTCCATCACCCTCCTGATGGGAACACAGTGCATCTGAGGCCTACTAACCCACTAGCCCAACGGAGTCCGTACCCCTGCCCACCAGTGGCAGATTCCATGTGCTCTGGGTATCTGCCACAGCTCTCCTGCAGATGCACAAGCTCTGCAGTGACAGCTGAGCAAACTCCCCGTGTGTGTGGCCTACTCGCTGATCTTCTCTACTTACTGGCCTGGAGCGTGCATCACACTGATCTCCTGACCAGAGACCAGCTGAGGCTGAGGAGCTCAGCAGCATCCCCACCATGCAGTGAGCTGCAAATCCATGTGGTTGACACCTTAATGTTAGCCCAGTGATCTCTCAACATCTGTTCATGTCTGGGTGACTCTCTTAGTTTATGCAAAACCTTTGATGTTTGTAGACAAGAGACTATGGCAAATGTGATGTGATTCTGCAGGTGAAAACAAGGTCTCAAAATAGTTGGTTCTGAGTTCATCAAAAGGGAATTATCCTGGCAGGCCTAACTTGATCAGGTGAAAATATATTTTTGTGTGTGAATCTAGGGTCATACACACACTAGGCAAGCACTATAACACTGAGCTAGAGCCCCAGGCTGGTGGAAATCTTTTTTTTTTTTTTGGGGGGGAGGGGGGAGACGGGATCAAACTCACTACCACGCGCTTGCAAGCTTGCAAGGCAGGCGCTTGTGCCACTGAGCTAAATCCCTGGCCCATGCTGGAAACCCTTTTAAAGTGAATCCAGGCCTCCTTGGGATGCACATACTCTTTTCACCCTTTGATGAGTCTGCCATGTGGGAAGCCTGTAGGAGCCTCTAGGAAGGCATCCAGCTGCAGTGAGCAAATCCTACATACCATGGAAATGGAAATGGCTTTTATTAAGTGTCTCTGAAAAGCCAGAAGAAAACGCAGCCTAACCAGTATCTTGACTGCAGGCTGGTGAGCAGAACACCCACCTAAGGTACATCTGGACTCTGCACCAGTAAAAGTATGAAATAACAAGTGTATGTTGCTGGGCTGTGAATGTGATCGTGTCAGGAAGCATGCTTAACATGTACGAGGTCCTGGGTTCAATTCTCATCATTAACAAAAGGAAAAAAGCATGTATTGTTTTAAGCCACTAAATTTATTGTAACTCGTTCAGAAACAACAGATAACAAATACACAATACTTTTTTCTAAGGAAGTCTGAATCTGTTTTGGGGAGGGCCAGGCATTTTTTCTGTCTGACTTTATTCATTCAATATTATGTTAGGTTCACCCACAATGTTGCATCTACTTCTGATTCATTCCTTCTATATACTGGAAAGCAATCCAATGGTATAAATATTCCACAACTTATCCATTTTTTTTTTTGGATAAGCATTTGGGCTATTTTATCTATCTATCTATCTATATATCTATCAATCAATCAGGTAATATTGAACTATGAAGCCCTGACTGGCTTTCAATTCCCAACCCTCACAATTTAGTCTCCCAAGTGCTGGGATTACAGACATGCACCTCTATACTTGGTATCTCATAATAACGACCCAAACCTTGACAACTATCTCAGAGGTACACAATGCAGCCATTACAAGAAGTTGCCTTGAGTCCCTACCTGCACTGTCATGTTTTCTGAACATCTAACACTGTAATTAGTGGATACCATTTAATTTGGAAATAGATTCAACTCTTCTGCCTTAAACATTTCAGAAGATTCCTCTGGGCTCAGAGTACAATGTAGAACATCATTCCCCTGATGCTAATCCCTCTCTTCAGCTTACTTTTCATCACACTCTTCCTCTGTGCTTGGCTTTAGCCAATTTTCTTTCCACAGCTTAAGAAGTACACTGAAGTCTTAGCTGGATGTAGTGGCCCACATGCCGAGTCCCTGTCTCAAAAAAAAACAAGTCTTGTGGTTCACAAATGCTTATTTTCTCATACAGTTGCACAGCCCATACCCTTACATCTCTTTTTGTTCTGAAACTAATGGCCAAAATAAAACACAACCTAAGAAGACTAAAGACATGCTAAGATGAAGCATCTGTTTAAAAAAAAAAAAAAGGCGGTCGTTTTCTACCATCTAAAACTAAGTTCTCACACACACACAAAAAAGCGCTGGAATCGCCAGATCTCTGGCCCCAACAGCGGAACCGGATTCTTTCTGAAATAAAAATGCACAAAGGTTGCTTTTGCTTTGTTCTGTGACATGAGGGCTGGGCCAACCCGCGCGGCCTCAGGCAGCTTTTACAGGGTGAACAGCGGGCGCAGCCCCGCACCCCGCCGCGCGCACCCCGTCCCCGCTCCTCCGCACCGCCGCCCGCGGCCTCTGCAGCGCCCGAGCCCGCAGCCCCCGCAGCCCCCGCGGCTCCGGCCCAGCGCGCCCGGCCGCTCCCCGGAGGCGCCTCGGCGCCCCGGGCCAAACCCGCCCTTGCACATCCCCCTGCCCCGAGGCAGGCCCCGGGCCGCGGAACTCACAAAAGCCGGAGTGGCCCGCACGGCGCGGAAGGTAACAAGTCTCTCGGGCCGGCCGCGGCAGGCAGGGCCGGAAGAGCGCGACGGCCGTGACGTCACTTCCGCTCCGGCCCGGAGGGTGCGGGGCGCCGGGCGGAGCTCCCCGAGTGACTCTCGCGTTTCCTCCTGCTGGAGTGTCCCGGGGCGCTTCTACCGGCTCGGAACAGGGACAGATGGACGAAAAGGGGCAGAGGCCAAAACTAAGGTTAGAAACTTATCTGGGCGGGCGGAGTCCGGGAACGGGGCCAGGGTTGGAGGCGCAGTCATGCCCCGCGCGAGGTTTGAACCTCGCGGCTAAAGCAGGGGATGCTTACCAGAAACTTTTCTACCTGCATCCGACCTCTTCTGAAACCCTTTGTTCCGACCAACAGGAGAATCCAGTAGGGAATGGATAATGGTCTCGTTCCAAAAATAATATGGGCCTTTGGATTGTTGGTTGACTACAGCCATTCTGTATACTTCCGACACACCCTTCCTGCCTCTGCCCATCCTAATAAGTTACGGACCAACCGAAAGGGTCTGAGAGAAGGTGGAGGGTTCTAACAGTGCTTTTGGCAATCACTGAAATCCCATTGCTTGTTGGGGTTTAGGATGCGCCTATTAGCACTCCACTTCTCTAGTCCTCAGTTTCTGCTAAGTGTCCTGGGCTCCAAAGCAGAGGAAGATGAGCTGAAGTCTTGATACTCTTTTCTCGCTTTAGGTCACAGCTTCAATACTTCTGACAGAATTCTTCACTGCTTCCAAGAGGGAGAGTAGTTCTGGAGGCTCCCCATACAACCCTTTACCAGCTGGTGTGCAAGGAGTACGTGGTATAGTTTTGCTTTTAATCTGTAGCAAATCACCAAATAATCTACTAGCTGAACTCTGCTCATTAAAAGCCTCCTGTAGATGAACGTGGTACAGCTTAGTTCAGCTTTCTGTTGTTTAAAGTCAATTCTAAGGCCAATTTGCATAAAATGAGAAACAGACTCCATCATTTTAAGAATAACTTCAAAGCAGCTATGGCTGTTTGTAATCCATTACAAAATGTGCTGGGACTTAGTCAAGGGGCCTGATTCTGATTCCCCACTTAGATCTGTCCAGCTGCTCGTGAGAGCCTGTATTTATTTACTTCAGGGTCTCTCTCAAGTGAAACTTGGGAGGTGCATGATGGAAGACACTATGCAAATAACCCACTTGGGTGGAAAGAAAAAGTATTATCAAATACTTAAATGCAAAAACTAAAAGTTTTGGCACCTAAAAAGTTATGGAATACACAGATTTCAACCATAATTGTTCCAATGAACTATAATCAAGAGAATGCACAATGAGACAAAGTATCAGAGATGATTCCAAGTTTATTGCTAACTACATTACACAAAAGGGACTAAATGTCTCAGAAAAAAGAAAATTATTGTTAGTCCAAAGTTTTCAAGTACTTAGATATTTTTAATCTCTAGCTAAAATATGTATAAAAAGAAACATCTGGGCATGAAAGGTAGCTCAGTGGAAGAGCAAATGCTTAGTGCACAAGTCCCAGGTATGACCCTATCACCCAAAACAAAAACTTAGAAACAAAATAAAACGAATTCAATATGGCCATACAAATACCTAACAGAATTAATGTAACAGAAAACATGAAAAAAGTTAACTCCCGCCCCATACTGGGCATTGAATCCAAGGCTTGTGCATGCTTGGCAAGCACTCCACCACAAACTATATGCCCAGCAGAAAGGTTAATTTTCATGACAAATCACAAACCTGGCTCATAAAACAACTCAATGGTACAGTACTCACTACACAAAGGCACTGGGTTCAGTCCCCAGCACAGCAACCCCCCCAAAAGAAAGAAAAATGACAATACTGTTATATGATTTTTTTTTTTTTTGTCTTTTTCCTTTTTATCGGTACCGGGTATCAAACTCATGACCACCTGCTTGAAAGGCAGGCGCTTATGCTGCTGAGCTAAATCCCCAGCCCCTAAAAAAATGACAATACTGTTAACACAAGAAACACAAAAAGAAAAAGTAATCATTCTAGAATGCATAATAAGCTTAAAATTATACAACCAGAAATGTTAAAAATGCATAATTTTTTGCTCCACACATGAAACATGTCTAGAAAAATAGACTCAAAATGCTTTATGATTTTGGAAACCTTAATTGTTCTATAACCATAAAACAGGCCAGAGATATAGCTCAGTGGCACAAGCACCTGCCTGGCAAGCGCAAGGTCATTAATTTGATACCCAGTACCCCCCCAATATATAACCTAAAAGTCGAGCAAATAGCTTAAAATCACAGAAATGGGATACCTAAGAAGATGATTACAGTTACTCTAAGTCTGGCTAAATTAATAAGTTCAAATTGAGCAAAATGGGGAAATAACCCAGTGTAGCAGATGGTACTGTCATAACCTACACTGAAGTACCAGGAAATTCGTTTTCGATGGTGCTGATGCCTGAACCCAGGGCCTTGCACAGGTGTGTTCTACCCCTGAGCCACATCCATGCACCTTTTCTTGGGGGTTGGGGGTGCTAGAGGTAGAACCCAGGACCTCCTGCGTGCTAGGCAAATGCAGTACTATTTGTGCTATACCCTTAGCCTCTCCCCATTTTTTTGGTGATAACAGAGATTGAACCAGGGCATTTATACTAAGTGACATCCCCAGATCTTTTAAAAATAATTTTATGTTGTGACAGGGACCTATTAAGTCACTAAACTGCCCAGCCTAGGCTTGAACTTGCAATCTTGTCACAGCCTTCCATAGTTCTTGAGATTAGGGTATACATTGCATGGCTTTTTTGTTTCTAGTGTAAGAAAAACTTCCTTGCCAATGTTTCTCAAACATCTACAAAAGTCCTTTATAACACATTAGTAAATATAATCAAGTAATAAGGATAGTCTATAATATCCAAATTGAGTTTATCTAGGAATTCATGGTATTAGGAAATCAATAAAGAATAAAAATCAATAATGACTGCACTTAAAAGCTTTCAGTCATTCATATATTTAAGTATTTTGTATTATGGGTCATTTGCATTTCTAGCTGATTGAGTCAGTGAAGGAAGATGGCTATCATAAAGGCCTGGGGGGTGGTGGTGCACACAACCTACAATCCTAGCACTTGAGAGGCTGAGGCAGGAGGATTGCTGCAAGTTTGTGGCCAGCCTGGCTACAAAGTAAGCTCAAAGTTGGCGTGCACTACATAGCAAGATCATTTCTCAACAAAAAAAGACAAACAAAAAAGGACAAAGGGTACAGAGCAAGATAACCCAAGAGGAATCAAATCTCATAAATTATGATACTGGGAAACATTTAACTACATCAAATCTGAGTTCTTAGCAAACAAGAAAATCAACAGAATGGAGAGTATTATCAACAGAATTACGAAGGAAAGTTTGCTGCTTTTACTAAGTAGTTTTAGTCAATAATGGGTTGAGATTATGGTCCTATTAAAATAAAGAGCTAATAATTGAAGTTAATACAGTCATTATCTATAGATATATGACTACTGTGTGGTAACAAAGAAAACGTATGCATAAACGCAGTTAGTCACTAAAAATTCATATAGTGAGTATAAACTCCAATGTGACTATGAAGATAGGACCTTATTTTATGTTAAGATCCAGAGTGGAGACTTAGAGTGTGGTGGCACACACGTGTAATCTGTGCACTCGGAGCTGAGAAGGATGGCAAGTTCAAGTTCAAGCCCAGCCTGGGCAACACAGCAACGTAGAGAAACCGTCTCATAATAAAAAATAGAGAGGGCCCGTGATGCAGCTGAGTGTTAAGGTTCTGGACATGGATCTACCTCCTGTTCAGTCTCCATTATGTGAAGACACCATGAGGAGGTGATCAATGACATGGCCAGAAACTGAGCCCTCACCGGAAGGCAGCCTTGTTGTTACTCCTCATCTTAAGAGTTCTGGCCTCCAGGGATGGGAGAAAACAACATTCTGTATATTCCAAATTTATTCAGCAAATAACTTTTATTCAAACAAATTTTAAGCCATCTGATTTAAGTATGTTATTTCATTATGACAAATTAAATGATTCATAATGGATTTTGATATAGGTAGGCGGTACTGCAATAAAAACATTCAAGCACAAGACTGAGTAATAGGTAAAGGCTGGAAATGTTTTAAGTACTTTTCTTTTTTCTGAGTTTTTGAAACGGGGTCTCACTGTACAGTTCAGGCTGGCCTTGAACTCCTGCCAGTCCTGCCTCAGCCTCACAAGTGCTGAGACTACGGGTGTGTATCACCATGCCACACCTGACAGTTTTTAAGTGCATGCTTAAAAGGACACTAAGAGCTATTTTGGTGATTTTCATGTGGGGATGAAAAACATGTTATTAGAAAATCGAGAACAACCCAGTGTGGTATCAAATGCCTATAATCCTAGGCATCCAGGAGGCTGAGGCACAAGCATCCCAAGTGGGAGGCCAGCTGGGCAGTGTAGCAAGATCCTGTTTCAAAAAGTGAAGAAAAAAAAAAAGCTGGACATACTGCTGCATGCCTTTTGGGAGGCAGAGATTAAAGATTAAGTCCAGCCTGGACAATTTAAGAGACTTATTGGGAAGGCCCCAGGTTCATTCCCCAGTACTGAAAACATAAAACAGTAAGGGCTGGGGCTGGGGCTGAGTGGTAGCACTTGCCTAGCATGGGTTCAATCTGAAGCATTCGAAGAAAAACGGAAGGGAAGGCAGATGGAAGGGGCAAAAGAATTAAAGAGAGGAAGGAATGGGCATAGTGATGCATGCCTGTGATCCCAGCATTCGGGAGGCTGAGGCAGGAGGATTGCCACAAGTTTGATGCCAGTCTGGGCTACATAGTAAGTTCAAGGGGAACCTGAACTACATAGCAAGACCTTGTCTAAAAAGAAAAAATACAAAATTTTTCAAAAGGCAATCCTTGATATGCAGCGGAAAAAGACTGGCAGAATACAGTTGTATTCTTGCAATTTTTGACAGGTAGAGTTGGGGAATGATCAAACTGGAAATTTATCTGATATTATAATTCAACTGTTGAAGGACTAGCTTTGTTCCCCCTTACAACATTTAATAAAATGCAAGAGAAAACTAAATCCAACAAGGAACTGTTAACCAAGAAAGGACCGGAACTTGGAAATTCGGAAAATTCTCAGCTTATGCATATTGAAAAAAACTGCAAAAGCTTGAATTGAAGAGAATATTAAGTGTGACTGAAAAACCAGTTGATAAAAGAGATCACAAATGAGACCAAGGGGTGGGATATCAGCAATCTCACCAGGAGAGGAACAGAATGAATACACTAGCAGAGGCATTGCTACTTAGATCTAAAATAGACCTAGTGGACAAGACATGGTGGGCTTCGTAAGATACAAGGAAGCACGGTAATTGCTACAAAGGTAGACTACTCCAAGAGTAAATACAGAGGGCTTCTTGGCATGCTCAACACAATCAATGGGGTCAAAGGAGATTCCTGGAGTATCTGTCAACAGTCCACTTGGGTCCTGTGCTTAGCTTATCAACTTAGCTTCTGGTTTTCACATGAATACTACACTGGTGGCCACTAACCAACAACAGCTAGGACCAAATCTATTCATTTATCTTAAGCAGACAGGTCTAACCTGTGGCCTACAGGCTTATTGTGTTTAATATTATAATAAAGTACTTTAAAATAAAGGACCTTTGCTATATACATTAACTATATTATATGTGGCCCAAGACAGTACCTCTTCAGTGTGGCCCAGGCAATCTACAGAGTTAAACTCCCATGCGTAGCATTCATGGATGCTACCATCACTTGGAATCCAAGCACCAAGATGAGGCCTACCTGTAGTACTGACCTCACCTACACGACCACAAGTGCTCAGACTCACTTTTCTGAAGAAGTTCCAGAGGCCAATATAGCTTGGTGACAGAATGATTGCCTATGGTGTGTGGGACACTGGGATTAAACCTAGCACTACAATAGAAGGTGGGGGGAGGAACACATGTTCCTACAAGAGGGGATCTATATGTCTTATGCCATAGAATCAGGGAAGCATCTAGGCCAGTGGAAACCACTGCAATTCAAACAAAGCAATTAAGATTAACTGATGATCTCTGGTGCTATTGTTACTATTTAAGGGTGGCAACAGAGGGGCTAAGGGAAACACTGATCCCCTCGCATTTGTAGGCCTTCCCCCCATGGTGAACGCTTGCGTGTTTGCTTAAGCGGGAGGAAACAGCAAACGCTTTCCCACATTCCTTACAGATGTAAGGTTTCTCTCCGGTGTGTGTTCGCATGTGAATGTTGAGAGATGTGGAATACACAAAAGCCTTCCCACAGATATTGCACACAAAGGGCTTTTCCCCACTGTGAATTTTCATGTGTTTAGTACGGTGGGAGGCAGTGATAAAGGTTTTCCCACAATGAATACATTCAAAAGGCTTCTCCCCTGTGTGTGTTCTCACATGGTGAATAAGGCCTGAGGTCCTAGTGAAGGCTTTCCCACACTGCTTACACTGAAAGGGCTTCTCTCCACTGTGGATGCGCACGTGGGTGGCAAGGCCCGAGTACTGAGTGAAGGCCTTCCCACAGTCCTTACATTCATAGGGTTTGACTCCAGTGTGGGTTCTGGCATGTTCATTGAGCTGAGTGGATCTCGAGAAGGCTTTCCCACACTCCTTACACACAAAGGGCTTCTCTCCACTGTGAACTCCTCGCAAGTGTTCAGTCAGGCCTGACCACCTCAGGAAGGCTTTCCCACATTCCACACATTTGTACGCTTTTATTCCACTGTGAATTTTCCTGTGATCGTTAAGGTATGTGTTACTTGTAAAGCATTTTCCGCACTCTTTACACTGGAAGGGTTTTTCTCCAGTATGGACTTCCATGTGGGCAGAAAGTTGAGTGAAAGTAGCAAAGCATTTCCCACATTCCTTACATTTTTGGGATTTCTCTCCAGAAGAAATTGTTACATACTGACTTAGGTGTGAGGAAAAGGCAAATGCTCTCCAGCACTCCTCACACTCACACAGTGTGGCTTCAGTGTGGGTTTCCATGGGATTAGTAAGGCATGGAAAATACTGAAAGTCTTTTTCATAGTCCTCCAATTTGTAGGGGTTTTCTCCATTGAAAACTTGAAGATCCATAGCAAGGCTATACCTCCAGCCCTAGGAAAATATGAATTTTAAAAACATTATAAACCAATCCATTCTGGTTTGGTGCATCAACATTTTTCACAATACTAACAGGAATTGTAACATTGTCACTCTAACGGGCTGTGAAGATGTTAAAGATGAGGACAACAGATTGACTTAGTCTGTGAAGGTAAGCATACATGAAGGTGACAACTAGAAAGATTCAATTAGGGATATGATGAGGGTTTAGAACACACTATAACCAGGCACTGACACTCGGGAAGACAGGTCTGACATCTTGCATACAATCCAAGGTACCCTTTGAATGTTGATTCTGTTGGGATGTATCTTTACCTTTTAGTCTAATCCTCAAAGAAGGCTGACAATGGTACTTAGTCAAAAAAACATCTATTATCTATTCCATTTGGACTTGAGACTCATAGGCTTGCTGTATAATAGATCATGTTTCCTACAGACTCTAAGCAAGATCCTAAAAGGCCAGTGAAAGGTGCTATTTGGCAAATAGATGGTTTTCTTTGACAAGGGTGCTGAACTGGTACCCATGCTGGCAGGCCCAATATCCATGGCACATCCTAAATTAAGTACTGGTATATATATGTTAACAGTATAACATGCCATAGTTTCAGTTACTCATGGTTAACCAGTGTCTGAAAAAGGAACTGGAGAGCGCTGAGGGCTGTAGCTTAGTGGTAGAGCACACCCTCCAGAATGCACAAGGTCCTGGGGGCCCAAATAAAAAGTAACCAGAGGACAATAAAATAATTTGAAAGAGACTATATTTATACAACTTTTATTACAGTGTGTTGTAATTGTTAAATTTTATTAGTTATTGCTATTAATGTCTACTGTGCCTCATTTATGAATTTATCACAGGTAGGCATATGTAGAAAAAAAATCAGTATGCATAGTTTTGTACTGTCAACAGTTTCACTACCCATCGGCAGTCTTAGAAATTATCCCTGGGGATAAAATATGGACTACTGTATTGTCTACATTGCCCAGAGACCTGTGGAGGGAGGGAAGTGCCCAACGACAGGACCATGAGAATGCCCAGTGTGACTACCACACACTGGGGCATCATCTCATTAAGGAAAACATGAGCAAAGCCAGCAAAGAAAAATACCTAAGGTCTAGTGCTGGTGATCTGGGCTCCCAAAGGGAACTAAGGGTGCTATTAATAAAGGGACAACAAATCTTCAGAATATGGTACTCCTGGGGATGTAGCTCAGTGGTAAAAGAATATGGTACTGGGCTGAAATATGGAGAAATAGTGATTATAGGGCCTTGGTCTGACATGCTAGGTGGCTAGGGAATGCTGAAGAGGTAGTAAGAGGCTTCAGGAAGTGGGTGGTCTTCCGAGGAAGCCAAGTTGAATGATAAGTAGAACTTCTTGGATAAAGCCCTAATTTTCATTATGTTCAGTAATGGATACCAGATTTCTTGAGGCATGGAAGTGCTGGGATGTACATTTTAGCAGAGAGTAAAGAATGTACCTGAGTCCCAAGCTAAGCAGCTTGGGAAAAAGAACAAAACATTTAATCCCAGCTAGTCAGGAGACAGAGGTAGCTGGGTGTGGTGGCACACACCTGTAATTCCAGCACTCAGGGGCTGAGGCAGGAGGATCACTGTGAGTTTAAAGTCAGACTGGGCTACACAGTGAGGTGAAAATCATCCTGAACTGCATAGTAAGGCCCTGTCTCCAAATAATAATAATAATAATAATAATAATAATAATAATAATAAAAAGACTGAGGCAATAGGATCTCTCTGAAGCCAGCTTGGGTTAATTAGCAAGACCCTGTCTTTAAGAGAGGAAAAAAAAATAAAAAGCTAAGCATGTAGCTCAGAGCGGGGTCTGATCCCCAGCACTACATATATATACATGCATACACACAAAAGGACTGAGGATGTAGTTTAGTGTCAGAGAGGCCCTGAGTCCAAAGACTAGTACCCTACCCTCCTCAAATGCACACAAAAAAGGAGGGGTTCATGATGCAGCTCAATCAAGAGCATTGTCTTAATAAGTATGAGGCAATGCTTTAATATCAAGCACTGCAGAAGAGAAAATAAATAAGTAAAATAAAGTATGTTCTGTGTGCAATCTGTGCCTTCTAAGAGGCAGTCTGTGGGCACTGCAAGAGTACAGGTTTCCGTGAAACAGGTGCAGTTGTCTTCAGCACAAAAGACCTCACTTCTAACTCTGGGGTTTTCAGTTAGGACAGCATCACATCCACTCATGAGATCCTATGCAAGAGTAACTTCATGTGGAATGTGAGACTGTTTTAGCCTTTCCAAGCAGATCCCTACTAACACTGAAGTGGGTTTCCAGATTACAAATGAATGAAAATCACTGCACAGTATTAGGAAGACCAATACTCAACAAAGATTGCAGCTTTACATGACAGGAATTTTTGTTTTTGGTGGAAGGTGAGGTTCCAATGGGTTTTGAGCCAGATGAAAACCTGCCTGTGCTGTGGAACAATCTATGGCTTAACAAGTGAGAATAATCTTTTGCTTAAATGCCAAGGAAGGATGTCTTCTCTGGCCTCCAGCACTTACGTGAAGTAGGTAAGACGGAAAATTTACAGAAAAGCGTTCAGGAGCCATAGTTGGTTGTACATGCTTATAATCTCAGCACTCTAGGAAGCTGAAGCAGCAGGACTGTTAGTCAAATGCATCCTGGACAGCTTAGTGATTTACTAAGACCCTATCTCAAAAAATAAAAAATGGTCTGGTGATACAGCTCAGTGTGCAGTTCCTGGGTTGAGACCTAAGCATCATATAAACAAAAAACAAACAATACTGGAACAAGATAATGTGTTTAGGGGTTTGATGTACTAGAAATTGGAAAGTTATTTGAGATGATTATGCTTGTCAGTTTCTGAGTCCCATTAGACATTGAAAAATCTACTTAATGTCTCTTCCAAAAGCCCTACATTGAATAACATTTTGAAAAGTGAAAAAGCATACCTGAGTTATAAGAAATATGTGAAATTCTGAAGGGAAGACAGAGTACTCTTTTTAAGAACTTTATGAGGTAGCTTTAGTGTGTAGGGACATTTGCAGGGCTTTTTTTGTTTTTTTGGTATCATGGTTCAAGCTCACGACTTTGCACTTGCCAGGCAGGCACTTAGACTACTGAGCTAAATCCTGGGCCCTTTAAAAAAATGTTTTTTTAAAATTTCAATGCTGGTGTTGCACCAAAAGCATCTCACATGGTGGGCATTCTATTACTGAGCTACAGCCTCACCCTGCATATACAATTTTGGTTCCTATTTTGTCTGCTCAGTATCACAGAGCTTTTGGTTGATCTTGACCTTTTTTTTCAATTACCTGAAGAAGAAAATCTTTAGCCATTTCTCATTAGTTTACACTACATGTGAAAATGGGTAACTAATTGTCCACAGCTTCCAGTGTTAAAGATGTCCACCTGTCGCAAACGTGACCAACTGTCCTGTTTCTTGCATCTTGCTCTTTATTTGTACATCCCGACTAAGAGATGAAAAGCAGCAACGTGACACTGAACTCTGTCACCTGCATGATGGCTGTGGTCATGTCTGACAGTCCACAAACTCCCACTGTCTTTCACACAGTCAATCCCAAGGAGCTCTTTAGAGACACTCAGGGTCTGCAAGAAGACTGACCTCCTCACATACCTTGATCTGTCAACACACAGGGGACAGGAAAAGCCCCTGCTCTTGCAGGCACAATACATCAGAGGGCCGGCTTTGGTCCCAATCTGTGTTAGGACTGCCTTGGTGTCATGTGAAGCTTATGGGGCATCCTTGCTCCAAAGTAAAGGCTCAGCGTCTGCAAGGGCATGTTTCCTGCACAGCCCACAAAGTGGCCTGCCAACTGTTCTTTTAATGATGTGTGGCAGAAGGCTGAGAGGAACAATTTTTCCCTCCCATGGTAGTCGAGACTGAACTCAAGGGTTGAACCTTTACACTGCCCTTTCTGTTTTTGAGACACGGTTGCCCTAAATTACTAAGTTACATAGGCTTGCTCCTATTTCAGCCTCCCAAAGTGCTAGAATTACAGGCATACATCATCATGCCTAGCACAGAGAGCCAATTTTTTCCATCAGACACCAGGGGAAAATGAGGCCCATCATGAGCAGTCCACAGACTCCAGGAGGCACAGGAACAGGTAAAAGCCTCTATAGCTACGAAGCATCTAAAGACACTAACAAGAGTGGCTATTCACGTCTCTGGTAAGTCAAACTTACAAATTGAGGATATATTCCTACCAGAACTACAGGACTAAAAGATGCTAGACTTGTGTAGCAGTAGTAAGTATACCAGACAAATGTTATGGAAGAGGATGTTATCAATGTCATGTCATACCTGTAGTCCTGGAGTAAAATGAATAGAATTAAGATGTTGTCTGCATAGACTGTGTGTGGTGGAAAACTGCAGGCAGCCTGGGAAGACTGTAGTGTGTCCCTGCTGAGGTGGAGGCACACGGCAGCTGGGAGGCTGTTGAAACAGGCACAGAGAAGAGCATGTTAGCCAGCGTGTCAGAGCAAAATATTCACCAGTTGTTGACTGAACAGAACCACAAATTTCCATATAATTGAGTATTGGGCATGGGGGCCTTTTGGTCAGAACTACAGCTTTCGGGTTGTAGTAATACACTGTAAGGCCCAATTTATGCATTTATCTGATTTATCAATCTATCAAATCTTCCTATATTATCAGATGTAAAAGAAGTCAACATTGGGAAGAGGAAGAATAATCATGCTTTATTTACTAACTTTTAGAAGTTCAATTTTAATCCCTAAAAACTATTTTAACTTATAATGAACTCTATTTACTATTTTAATGAGAATACAGGGGATTCTGTGTCGAATTATAAAAGCCAAAAATTTAATGTTCATTTACTACCTATTATATCAAAACATCTATACTCAATATGGAATGTTTTAGGACAATGGGTATTGTGGCAATGGGAAACTTAAGACAATTGAGCATTTACTAAGAGGCTTATCTAGCCAGGGATGGTAGCACATACCTATAATTCAAGTGAGTTCAAAATCAGTCTGAACTACAGTGAGACCCTATCTCAAAACACACACATATACACACACACACACACACACACACACGAAAGAAAGAAGCAGCATATCCAATTTCACCCATTTTATCCTTTCTCCCTCTCCCTCCCTTTCTGGTACCAGGAATCAAACTCATGACCTCGTGCTTGCCAGGCAGGCGCTTATGCCACTGAGCTAAATCCCCAGCCCCTCAATTTCACTCATTTCAATAGGTGCTTTAAGAATATAGAAGACATAATGTTTAAATTTAATGAGATACGTTGATATAATTTAAGTTGCTACAAAAGTCCATAAATTTTTGTCCATTAGCACCTTTTAATTAAGCTTGTTAGGTTCTATGTCACACTGGCAAAATAAAACTCCAGTCCTTTTAATGTTTTGTTATATAAAAATTAACTACAAATTTTGCATTTTGAAATAATCCAATTGTAAAACTTTTTTGTTATTTACACATACTGAAAACTTATTACATTTATTACTTTATACATAAGTTCTACTTTATTAAATTGTATTTCATCTTCTTGAATATAGACGTTTATACAATAGTAACTTACCTATGATTACCATCATGCACATGACCTGGCATTTCTTCAGTACAGAGTTTAAACTGCCTTTATTTTGTTCCTGGGTATTAAGGCACAGGTTCTTTCCTCCTTCTCCATTTTTTATTTTCTTTTTTATTTTCTACTTTTAAGCACCTGGATCTTAGGCTTCTACTATCTGCCCCTGAGTAATAAGAAAAGATGCAGGCTTGATAGGCTGAGGCAAGAAAATTGAAGTTTGAAACCAATCTCAACTATACAACACAATTCTACCTCAAAAAATTAAAGAGAGAAGTGATTGAAGTTTAGTGATAAAAGACTTAAAGAGCACACACAAGGCCCTGAGTTCCATATCCAGAATCCCACTCCAGCCCCTCAAAAAAAGACAGCAAGGGGAAGGGGCCAGGTGACTCACAGCAACCTCTTCTTGGTGTGGCCCTTTGTCGGCAGGATAGCTACTCAGTACTCTACCCTTTAAAATTATCTTACCCAAATCTTCTTAAATGGTTTCTGCCTCTAGGCAAAAGTATTTTCTTTCTGTTTGAGTATCTCACTAACTAATCTCTTGAAAATCCAGAATAGTCTCCGGATGTAGAGTCCAAAGCCACCTCAGGGTGCTGGGGTCACATCCTGGAGGGCACCAGTATTCTGGATGTGAATTTGCCTTGCTGCTACTTAGGTACATGAGAGTTACCTGCTATAACACGAGTTACTGTTACACCCAAGCTGTCAGCTTCTGCAGATACCACCACCCAACAGCTCACAAAATGCTTCACCCTGCATGGTATTACGGCTCTCACACAGACCTGACTCTATCTAGTCAAGGAAGCCCCTTCCCTGCAGTCACCTCAATCAGAGCAGGTCGCTGCAACCAGCTGGTCTGATCAGACACCTATCGTGTGTAAGGAGCTCGTCAAAATGAAAGGTGGCAAGCCTTACTGAAAATTTAGCTACCTGCCAATGGGGATATAACCCTCTGAAAGGAAGGGGTCTGTCTTAGGAAGAGACTGCTATGAATCAGAAAGTCCTATAGTACTATCTCCCCACAACCAGAACATACAGCTCCAAGAACTGATAAGCTAGTACTGAAGTGGATCTGGTAGGGGCCAGGGATACAGCTCCGCACCATAAGCACCTCCTTAGCAAGTGCAACATCGTGAGTTTGATTCCTGGTATTCCATCCTGCCTCTACAAAAAAAAAAAAAAAAAAAAAAAAAATCCAAGTGGGTCTGGTAACAATAATTTTGCTTCTGATCTCAGTAATTAAGAGCACTGCAGGTGTGGAGATCTCTGTCCATAGCGGAGACTCTTCACCTACAGGTCACAATTAAGTTTTTAACACATTGCAAAGTCAGATTGCTACCTGTTATGTCTTGTGTTGAGATGCCCCCCCCAAAGCCTCATGCAGAAATAGGTGGGGCCTTTCAGAGGTGGCTGGATCTAGGGTGTATGGTGCTGGAATTAAGAATGTGATACTGGGATTAAAGGTGCCCCACCTGGGTTTGAGTACTACCTGCACCAAGGTAGCCTGGATGGAATATAAAGGACAGAAAGAAGGCTGCAGTGGTCACTTGCTGCTTTATTTGCCATAGACCATTTCTCTTCTGGGATGCCCTTCTGCCATGCCACCTTGCCTTGGAGCCAGCCAACTACAGACTGACACCTCTACAAACTCTGAGCTAAATAATCCTTCTTTAATTTTGGGTGTCGTGTATTTTGTCTTCAGAAAAGTAATTAAGATACTACCTAAACATTTTGGGTCACTTGAACCATTAAATTAAGATGGGATAAGGGGGCAGTTAATCTACTGGTGGGGATGACATATCACAATTACCACAGGAAAACTGGAGTATTACAGATGAGAAGCCAGGAGGACTGAGTGTAGGAGCCACTTGATACACCCAAACTATACGGTAAAGATTCATTGAAAATTACAACTGAAAAAAGGACAGGACAATGAAGGACTTAAAATGAAGGAATTGGAAATGAGTATTTGAGTCACTCAACTAGGTAAAGAACCCACAGAAGCGAAAGGTGGGGCCGAGGGTAAAGGAATTATGAAACTGGTCACAGATGAAGTAAACCCTGCATATAAACCACACCCTCAAAGTCTCTTACTGAAGCAAAAATTGTGGCAGCAGTGCCTGTTTTTTCACTTTGACTATTATATGCACTATGCAAATGTTTATATAAACTATTCATTTGCTTCTATCACCTTCTCATTTCCATTTCATACACAAGTTACGTATTAATTTACAATTCACTCTGCAGCTAACAGGATATTCATTGGGAATGTGACTACATTTAAGTAAAAACTAACATGGCCTGTGACGAGATAATGCCTTCCTTTTCACCTAAGAGGAGGGTGAGAACTGCTTCCCTTGAGTCTTGCTAGTAGAAATACAGGGTTGTTTAATAATTACCGGGAATTCACATCTGTGTAGAAAGAATATATGCCAATGGTGAGCAGCCAAACTGTGACAGTGCCACTTAGTGATTTGTTCAGTTTGGCTCTAGACTGACCTTCACTGTCTGCTGTGGAATAAAGGGCTGGATTCTTTTAAGCATCTTTATATCAACCACTTTCAGTTGTCAAGGTGGAAGGGCACTGGATGGTCAACCGGTAAGTGATACGGGGTGAGAAGGATGTTCTGTGTTAATGGGTCCATCCCACCTGCTCAGAAGGCACAGCCCCTACCTAGGTGCTCTCTAAGGCCTGATCCACTGTCCCCTCCCCTGGCCGTCCTAGCATGGACACTGAACACTCAAAGGACTTCCACTAGGAGAGGGGCCCTCTGCACATAGAGCAACCAACCTGATGGCTTCTCTCCTTCATGACAGGTACTGCATTCTACAATGCAGGCTGCATCTGTGTGCAACTTCCTCTACAGTTGCTCACAATAACCCTGTACCCCGAGGATTTTACCACTGAAACACTGTGAACCTTCCTTGAGGTCACATTCTCTCTATGATGTTGAGCTGTCCCATATATTATATCCTATAACTTGAAACACTCATATTAACTTGTTTTACCAACAATCACATTATATAAAAACCTTGAGTATACAATATGCTACATTAGACTGAGCCAAATCCTTGCCATTTCTGTTGCTTCCCCTTTGTTCCTAATATTTCAAGTTTGTGCTAGTAAAATTTCCTGCCCAAGACCATTACTCATAATTTATTTACAGTAGATCCCCAGGCAAAGGTCTTAGTACCAAATATTCTTACTGAGATAGGATCTCACTTTGTAGTTCAAACTGGCCTTGAACTTGCAAGGATACTCCTGCCTCATACTGTGCTGGGATTATAGGCACGTGCTACCACATTGAGCTCAACCCTTGTATTTTGTCGGTTTTTTTTTTTTTTTTTTTTTTTTTTTTTTTTTTTTGCAGTATGTGAGACTTAATACAGGGCCTCTGGGCTGAACTATAGCCCTGGTACTTCTCTGCATTCATTATTTTGTGGCAAAAACCCAAGCCATTAACTTTTCCAGGCCAGGCTTAAATTTGTAATCCTCTTGCCTTAGCCTCCCAGTGTGCTGATTACAGGCACTACCACAATTCCTTTTATTTTATTTTAGTATGCGTGTATGTGCGTGTGTGTGTCCGTGTGCATGTGGTGCAGGGGATTCAACCCGGGGACTTAAACACACTAGGCAAGCACTCTAACAGCCAGATTCCCAGGCTGGTGGATACCTGTTTAAAGAGAAGCCAGGACTCCATGAGGAGAGACATTCTTTTTTTTTTTTTTTTTAACTGGGGATTTAACTCACAACCTTGCACTTACCAGGCAAGTGCTTGAGCTGCTGAGCTAAATCACTGGCCCGAGGTGCAGATACTCTTTCACTGGCTAATGTGTCTTCCATGTGGGAAGAACT